TATAAACTATGAAACCCTGTGGTAGTGAGTTCTAAGCTTGTGCACTGTGTGAAGTAAGTACTTCTTTTTAATTCATTCCACATTTGTCATCTTTCAGTTTCATGCTTGGTTTATGTCTTTTGGCGGTCTTACTTGAGGTTACCTGTGGCTGTGGTCAGTACAAGATTTTCAGGTACAAATGTAAGTTTCTGGGTACACAATTGCCTTAAACTCTGATTAATTTGCCACTCCAAGGTGTATGCAAATAGTAGTGAATTATCTGGTGGTAACCAGTTATCAGGAGTTGCTGATTGGGACTGAGGCACTAGCAGGGAATAAGAATGTTAATTCCACCCATAGTGGCAAATTATCCCATAAGCAAATTAACCAGATCTTAGTTAACAATCAAATTCTTAAAGGTGTAAGCAGTAACTTTAAACTGAACATCAGCCAAAGGACTTCACTCCATCTTACTTGGACTAGACATTTTTTAGAAAAACATCCAGACTTGGTTTAAAATAGCCAGTGATGAAGAATCCACCACAACCCTCAGGGAATTGTTCCAATGGTTAATTACCATTTCATTAATGATAAAAGTGTGGACCTTCTTTCTTTCTCTGCAATAAATTAGAACACTAATACTCCAAAGATTCAAGCACGTATGAGTTATTTCTGTGCTTCCTGATTCCTGCAAGAAGTGACAAACTAGCAGGATAAAGGCTCTGCAACCAAGCATTCTTGGCTTGCCCGGGAATCCGAAGTTCCAAAAATCTCACAGAAAGATACACTTCAGTTCAGTATCATGAACCCATACATTTCAAATAATCCAGCTATGATCTGGCTGGGCCTCTGGATTTTTAGGTCCTCATCCAAAGTAAAGACTAAGCCTGAGCACTGTTCTGAGGTTCCATCTCTCTAGGATCTCAATGGGTTTGATACTCCGCATGTCTCCTACGCCTGAGTGTGTTTCTTCTCTGTATGTCAGCTGCCTGTAAGCAAATGCAATGTTATTTTTCAAAGCCTGATTCCTCTTGACTGAACTCATTTATCATCAGCTTGTCAGCAGGAATAGTCTGAGGCTGCGGTTCCCCCACTCCATGGAGAACATCCTCACTCAATTGATTCATGGTTTGTTGGGTTTTTCATCTCCCTGAATCTTCTTCAGAATTTCACAGTTGGCAGGTTGTCGTCGTTACTGAAACCCACTGACAAACTTCATGGTTTTGAACAAGAAACAAATGCTCATTTAAACTGGTGGTTTCAGAAAAAAGCTTATATGTCTATGTCTCGTGCTGTCCCCATTCTTTACAACAAGGAGTGGGAGAAAGGCAATGAGAAAGCATGGGCACTTAGAGGCCTGAGAGAGTGGGCCTCATTCTCAGCCATGATAAAGCCCTTCACTGCAGTGTTATGAAGGACAAGGGGACTTGTGTATAAATGGTCCCAAAGACTCTCTCTGGGGCAGAGAGCCTATCTGTTCAGGCTGTAATTGGCACAAAGATTCCAACAATAGTCTTGTTCACTCCACGATAAGGGCTGGATCACTGGCATGTTGAAGATGTGACCAGCTTGGTCTGCACAGCTGTTCTCCACTTTCCAGAGCTCATAGAACATAGGAATCAGAGCCTAAAGGACTTGTTAGGCCCAGGATATTGTCAATAAGTAGACTTAAAGCCACGTTTCTCACCTGCCCATGCACACTATGGTCTCTGCTTTAAGAGCAGGAACAGGGTAAAGTGAGAATCAGACTCAGTGTCTGCCCATAATAGTTCAAGGAGGGGATACAGGAGTTAAAGATGTGAAGTTCCCCCTTGCCCTGTGGCAAATGAGAGGTGTAGAGGTAGCCCTTTCCAATGCCAGAGAAATGCCTGCTGCCCAAGAGAGTTTGACTATGAAGAGATAACGCACCCCTAATGCAGAAGCTGCATTATTTTCTCCAGAAGGAGAGAAGTGTAAAAACTGACAGGCTGCAGGCACTTCACAAAGTCACTTGGGCCTCCCTGGTGAATAGCAGTCCTAGAATTATCAGGAGTGCTTTAAGCATCATGAGTAGATGGAGGGGAGGTTGCAGAATGGGAGACAACCCCAGGGCAGAGATTATTTTAAAAAGGAGTGAAGAAATATGCAGCTGTCAAGATAAAAGAGATGTGAAAAAATCCTACACAACAGGGGCAAGGACCCTGTATAAAATCAATGCCTATTTTTTTACTGTGTGCAGTTTTTAAATTCACACAAGGACCCTGGGACTGGAAAGTCATTTGTTTCCAAGTCACCAATTTAGACCCAGCTCTGTTCCAAATCAATCCAAAGCAGTCTCAGCAACGACCAAAATGCATTATCCTTTGTTTGACATCTGGGACAATGTAGAGAAGCTGCTTACATATACTTCATAAATTCTGTCTATTATGGACTCTCTGGAGAAGTCTATGTGAGACAGCAATGCCCAGTTTGACTGTAAGGCTGGTCTTTGCTTTTCTGCCATACTTCTGCCCCTGCTGTGGAATAAAATTCTAGTAGGGCTAATTGTAGAGGTTGTTAAACTTTTACCATCATTAATTTAAATGGAGTCTTCTATCCTCCTGAGTGTGATGGTGTATATCCAGGACACACCAGGTTTTCATCCATGGACTCCATGCTTAGTGATGCCTAAGCAATAGATCAGCAGGTGGGAGATTCTTATTGCCTAACAAAGCTGATAGAGATGGAGCTTGTTACTTGACAAAGATGATAAAAGGAAGAGTCTGTCTGTAGCTGCTTTCCAAAGAGGCTGGTTGGAAGGAGGAAGAGACTTTGACTCAGAGAAGCTGTGTGCAGGATGACAAGGATCCTGGACCCCTCAGTGGACTCCACTCTCCATTCAAAGGATGCTTAAGAGGGGCAAGGAGATGTGCAGGTGTGTTTATTATCTTATCTAGATCTGCATGTCAGTTATGCTCTCTGGGTAAAGAGCATCTGTATGAAGACCCTTACAGAATGTGTGTGCCTCTTTGCTTCCCACTATCACATGTCCCTGAAGACAAAAACTGGGAACCAGAGTTCTCCTCAGGTTTGAGGTTTGGGAAAAAGTATGCTTAAGCTGATGGGGAGTCTTGGGAGGAGGGGAAGGAAGGGTCAGTGCTGTCCCAGGGCCTAACGAAATGGAGCTGCAACTTGTTATGTGTGTGAATTTGGTAAAGGATGAGGCATGTGCTCAAGAAAGGTACCAGAGAGGTGAAGGGAGGAAGCATTACTGCAGCTTGCTTAAACCCAGAACATCTTAAGAAGATGTGGGTCTGTTCTGGTGGGACACATGCATAGCAGAAGACACAATTTTGAAATCAGATGTGAATTGCGACCACAATGCCCAACACCTGCAGATATCCACATAACCAAGTATGCGTATCTGTATTCTGTAAACCCTTAACTATGTGTCTTTTCTACTTGTCTGTACAGGGGGAGTTGAAAGTTGAAAGCCAGGTGCCCACAGCATAAATAGAATTTGTATAAGGGACCTCAGTCTAGTTCTGGGTAGCCTCAAAACTGAGTAAGATATATGGCCTGAAGTCTGATTCTCCAACTTAACTGCTCTCTCTGGATCAGGGGGTATCATGTGGAACAAGGAAAATAACCATGCTTACACTGCACCTGTTTGTAAATGGAGAGCAGCCTTCTATCTTCAGGGAGATCACATTGAAGAGAGAGAAAGACAGAGTCTAGGTTTACTCAGATACACAAGTGTAGAACTTGCTAAACATGATTGATCAGATCACTGGTCCACCTGCTCTGGCTCTGGTATTGTCCATACCTAATGTTTCATGAAAAAATGAAGTTCTCTTCAAGGGAATGTGTGATCCAAGATTAGAATATTTCATTATGCTAAGAATTCTCCTAAGCCAGTTAAGCTATGTATATTAAATTTATTTATAAATGACCAAGGCATAGATTGCAAAGAGACCCTACGGATATCATCATAAGAGTCATTGTGAAGTCTCATTATTTATTTTAACATTCTGAGTCCACTTCTTCAAGCTGGCCATTCTTTCAGACAGATACTAGCCTAGATAAAGCTAGATGAAATGATCTTCAAGACTGATACCACAAACCCACACTAAGCACTCTTTAATTGCCAACAGTTTGGTTCCTTTTAGGTGAAGAGTGAGACCATCCCTTTAATTCAAACTCTCATTTTTCAAAAAGATTCCCTGATGAGTAACATGTACAACAACTTTCCTTTCCACAGCCACTTCCCATGGCTCAGATGGTTTGCATCAGATCCAAGGATTTGAAATGAACTTCATCTTGGATCTTCAGGTATGAGGCTCCTAGCTTAGCTGTGACTCCCAAGGCTTCCAGGATCCCAGCTCCATGAAGCTCTGAGATCATCAACTCTGGAGCAGTCTCCATGGCAGCAGATCAAGCCCCATGGACTTGTTCTGAGGCAATGCTCCAGGTGGGTTACAGAGAAGCTGGGTAGGACAGCAGGCAGGCATCTAACAGGTATCAATCTGGCAGGCATGTTTTGAAGCTGCCCAAAAAGCAGACCTCCTTTGCCACCCTGCCTGTGTTTTGTTGAAAGATCTGCCCAAATTTTATCTGCAAAAGGTTTCAGTTTTGTTAAATTTTTCCCTTTTCAGTGGGAAATCTGTCCCTTTGACTTGGCTGAAGATACAGTGATTTGTATGCAGTGAATGCATCGTGATGAAGTACAGCTAAATATGGAAAATGCTGCCATACTATTCTTTGTTCCAACACGGCATCAACTAAGAGCAAATTTATAATGAGATTGAGACATACAAAAACACTGCTTCATATTTTTTATTATGCCATTAGCCCTAATAATTCATTGGAGTCAGGTTCCCAAATGTTGGGTACATAGTTGCACGTACAATGTCTGTCTAATTTGCATTCAAATTGTGCACACAAAATAGATAAGCAGCTACGCAATCATCTTATTTATGTGCCCAAATGCATTAATTCTTAATATTAACTAAGTCAGACGTATAAATATCAAAATCATTCCCTTTGTATACCCACCTGGGAAATTCTAGAGTAGCTTTCAGATGATGGCCTTTTATATTCTTTGTGAGTTAGTGATCATTTTTGGAGACATTTTGCTTCCTTTGCTAATTTTAGATCATAATTGTTGGCCTGCATTATTTGGCATTTGTAGTTCTGTTGTTTATGGAGAGCATGTGCATAACTTAGTTGCAACACAGCTAACCACGTTGTCATTTAAAAAACTATTCATTTTGCTGGTTAGAGAGTAGTTTTTTGTTGTCATGGTAACCTTTTCGGTATTGAGGCTCATAGACAGAGGAAAGGTAAGTGCTGAAAATTGCCTTTACATGCCATGTTTTAGTGTAGTTTCAAACGCAAGAGAAGGTGACGGACAATTTTCATCGAATGAAATTTCAAATGTCGTTTTGAAATACTTTGTACACTAAATTCTTTCCTTGCCTGGAGGGAATGGAATGGAATTCAGTTAGAGATACTTAAGGTATCCTCAAGCATTTTACAAAGCAAATTGAGTTAAATGCTGACAGAATGAGTTTACAATGATACACTCAACACACGGCCTTGTAGATTAGAATTTCTTTCCCTGAGAGAGAAGATATAGACTATTCCACCAGCATTAGTTTCTGTCAGAGTGAATAGAATTTTTGTCCCTTTACTAGAAAGCTGACCAAATAGACTTTTTCTTTCCTCTCTGTCACTGATTAACCAATTTCAACAGAATACAGCTGTGCGAAATTTCACTGGCTGTTTTGTTTCGACTCGTTTTGTGCTGGAAACAGAGAAATTGAAACAAAATGAAGGGCTTCGAAACAGCCTCAAAACAAAATGAGGGCAGTCAAAACATTTTGAAAGTTTTGAAGTGTTTTGAGTTTCAAAGCTGAAGCTGGGTTTGCCTGCAGGGAAACAAAAAGCAAGGAGAGGGAAGACAGGGGAAGGACTGCTCTAATATTGACTGTGACTGTTTGGGTGCCTGAGATACTGCTGGTGCTACTGTGCTGCTTACAAAGTTATTACTGGTTGTCATTAAAGTGATGGACCAAGCTGAGGCTGTATGGGAGGAGGAGGCCTCATTGGGGCACATTATTGCATCATATAGAGGCCCCAGCATCAGTGAGAGCGTGCCTTAACACACACACACACTGTCACACATCACAAGTTTTGCTTTTCAGCAGCTTAAGGTGAAGTTCCCCAGAAACCCTTGCACCTATTTCCTTGAAACCTGTCAGGCTTCATGGCCTCATCAGGGGCTACCATACCTGCAGTTTTCACCCTGCTGTGCCTTAACACACGTACGTGACACGAGTTCTGCTTGTCAGCAGCTTGAGGTGCAGTTTCCCAGAAACCCTTGCACCTATTTCCTTTAAACTTGGCAGACTTCATGCCCTTAGAACAGGCTATCATGCCTGCTGTTTTCACCCCCCTGTGCTTTCACACTTACAAGTGACATGAGTTTTGCTTTCAAGATCTGAGGTGCAGTTTCCCAGAAATCCCTATACTTATCTCCTTGAAACTTGGCAAGCTTCATGCTCACAGAAGGGGCTACCATCCCTGTTGTTTTCATCCAAATCTGCCAAAAAATACCAAAGTTATAGGCAGTTTTGTGCTTCCCCATTATAGTCTATGAGCGAAACGTTGAAATGGCGTTGAAACAGTGAAACAGTTTCGAAATAAAACAAAACTCAAAATGAAACACTGTCCTATTGAAATGGCGAAACAGAAGTTGAAATGAAACAGTGCTGTTTTGCAGAGCCCTACAACAGAGCAATTCATAACTTCATGAAGAAAAGTTCTTTTTCAAAAAGGCCAGTCAATAAAGTCAATTGACAAGTCCAAGAACCGTGCTGGGATATGAATATGCTTCTGATTGCCTTCAGCATATGAGGGGAGGTTGAGGCCGTTTGGTATCACAGCAGCCATCTTTGACTCCTTCCAAATGCTGCCTTCAAACCATACTGGACTGCACAAATGTGGATCTGAACCTAGTTTGTTGTAGCTTGAGTCCATCCTTATGACTATGGCTGGTATATTCAAGAGCTGGTACATAAAGATGGGCAACTAAATTCATATAAAGGAATCTTAGTAGTCTGATCCAATGCCAAATACATATAACTCTTTGGAAAATCAAGATTAAGTGGCTAAAAGTCAGAATCTAGGGTCTTTCTGGTTTTGAGCTACTTTGAACTGTAAGGATTCTCTAAAGAACATGTTACTGCTCTGAAAACAGGGGTTCAGAACTGACACTCCCAGTCTTGATCCATCTTGATCTCAGTCTTGAGTAGATGTGATACTGTGTAATAGTTCAACTTCAGGCTGAACCAAGACCTCAAAAGAAACTCAAACCTAATTCCTACAGTCCTCACAATGTCCTGCATGAGCAGGTATCCACACGACCTAGCGTGTGTGTCTGTATGCTGTAAATCCTCAACCTTGTGCAGTGCACAGTTTTTCATTATCTTAAACACAAATGCTTAAGTGTTCACAGGATCATAGTCCAAGCACCCACCTTGTTGAACTGATTCTTTCCCAGAAAATTCTGGCTTTGTTCCTTTTGCCTGACTTTGTTTCCTATTTTTCAGAAGCTTTGACAATAACCAAAGAGGCTATCACTTCCTACTTGCTAGCCTGTTACTAGCAACTGGGATTCAATACCTTTTGCTTTCTATACCCTTTTATTATTATATTCATTCATTCCATTCAATTTATTCCTCCCCCAAAACTCATCTTTTTGTTTTTGTTAGTCTATTTTGATTCTTTCCCCCACAAAAAGAAATCTGTGCTTTCTTTTACAGTGTGCATTCCATTCACTGTGCAGGGAAGCACAGCACATAATGCATATTATAATAAAGAATTTATTCAGGAACACAAACATACATTTATATATTTATTACATAAATACATATATACAATTATCTACATATATTACATAAATACAGATTACATTAAAGAAGAACACACAGATTTTCCAGCACACCAAACACACTATGAAACACATTATAAAGTGTACTGGAAAGGGAGGGGCGGAAGAGGGGATAAAAGAGGGGATAGAAGGAGAGCTGTAAATTCCGCCCCCGCCAAACTGAGACAGCCTCTTACCTACAACTAGCAGGCATGAGGCTTTCAGTTCTACTGGCAGCAATGAGAGGAGAGCAGTGCCACTGCCTGAGTCTGAATCCCCTCCAAGAGCATCAGCCTTAACCACCACCACCATGACAACAAGCCGCACAAGCGTGACAGTCTCCTACACCCCCATTTCACTTCCCATGCTGAACCTTCCAGTGGCAGAGGAAGAGCTAGAGCTGGATCTGAGTGCCATAGCAAGGGAAATTATGGGGAAGGAGGAGGAATTATCTGATTTTTGTGCTCCACAGCACTCAAGTTTCCTCTAGAGCCAGATTTCCTTCCCCAGAAGGCACTTCAGAGGAGGTTGAGGTAGAGTTGTGGAGGCAAGTGGCTCAGCTGAGTCCACTTCTCCTCTTGCTGTGCCTTTGCCTGCTAAGGAGGGAAAAAGGCAGCATCCATACATACACCCACACCTCAGAAGTGAGCAGGTACTGTGATCTGGGATCATTTTGAGCTGGCAGACGATCCCACATATACTATCTGTCTGCACTGCTGAGCTAAAACCAGCCAGGACAAAGGAACAAAACACACAGGGATGCATCTCCGCAGGCACAACCACCTTGCCCTTGCTCCTCCTCAGCCTGGCACCAGTGGGAGCATTCCCCAAAAGAAGTCCACCTCTCACTCCAAAGCCCCCATCCCCCCAAAGCAGAGGCATATCACCCTGGAACAGTGTGGGAAAGGTGGACAGAAAGGGGGGCGCATTTCAAAGTAAGTAAGATCACCCAAAGCACTGGGGAGATGCTTGCTGTGGATGGCCAGCCCTTCTCCATGGTTGAGCAGCCAGGGTTCAGGCAGCTCATGGCCCCATCATACCAAGTGCCCGCACATACCACCTTCAGCAGGACAGTGGTGCCCTCCCTGTATGAGGCATGCAGGAAGTACTTGAAGGAGGAGCTATGCAAGGCAGGTCCACAGGTGGCCTTACACTTCACCTCAGACATCTCGAGCAGCCAGGGAGGAGATCATGCCTACCCCTCCCGCACAGGGCACTGGTGCAACCAGTTAGGCTGTCAGTGGGCCCTTCTTCAAACCAAGGTGATGGATGAGTCCCACACAGCAACCGAGATCATGGGGGCCATGAACCTCTTGGTGCAGGGGTGGCTCCTTGGGCAGGGTGAGTGGACCCCTGGGTTCATGGTCACCAGCAATGGGGCCAATCTGGTCAAGGTGGTCCACGATGCCAACTTTGTTGGCATCTGCTGTTTGGCACACAAATTCCACCTCATAGTCAGGGATGCCTTGGAGGCGGACAGGGCTGCCAGTAATGGCACCAGCACCACCAGCAAGCTCATTTCCAAATGCAGGAAAGTGGCCGGCTACTTCCATCAGAGCATTAAGGGGGGCAAGGTGCTGTGGGACAAACAGGCGGAGCTGAACATCCTGCAGCACAAAATCATGAAGGATGTGGAGACTCGGTGGAATTCCACATACCTGATGCTCAAGAGGCTGGTGGAGCAGCAGAAGACTATCAATGAGATGGCCTTGCTCCAGGAGATTGGGATCAGCAGCCTCCTTAACAAGGCTGAGTGGGATACCATCTCCCAGATCTTGGTGGTCCTCAAGCCCTTCCTCAAGGCCACCGAGAGCTTCAGCACTGGTGATGCCCTTTTTAGCCAGGGGATCCCTGTAGTGAGGTAACTTCAGAAGCAAATTGATAAGTTCTGGGGGATCAATGTTCCTGGCTGGGGCAAGCTGCTGTCACCAGGTGTGCAGGCACTGATGAGGCAGCTGAAGGAGGGCATCAGGAAAAGGCTTGATCCCTTGCGGTCCAGTATGGTCCACATGTTGGCCACCAGGTGTGACCCAAGGGTACATCAACATATGCAGCAACAAAACCCTGGATCAGTGGATGGAGATGCTGGTGAACAGAGTCAGGGAGGCAGAAGGGCAGAGGTGGGGGGATGTGGAAGATGGGATCCACTGTCCCATGCCAGCACACCACCCACCAGCCTGTCTCCTGGTTAGCCAGGCAGAAGGGGGTGGGAAATTGCCCCCTGCCCCTGGGAGCTGCCTACTGCCAGGGGAAGCTCTGCCACCAGAGCCCAGGCAGGGACTATGTCCCTCTGCCCCAGCAGCAGGGAGCTCCCAACCCCCCTGCACACACACACCAACTGCAGCTTGCTAAGATATATTTCTCCAAGTATTCAGTTGGTCTACTAAAATATATGAAATTGACTCAGAGAACTTTGTCTGCCAGTGCCATGTCCTTAGACCAACATGGCTACAACCTACACCTCTAGCACCTGTCCCTGGTCAGCTGACCAGAAGGAGGCAGGGCCCTGGGCACATCTAAGCCCCAGGGCTGGGGCTGGCAGGAAGAGTTCTCTGGCAGCTGCTGGAGAAGAAGCTCATGCAGGAAAGGAAAGAAAGTCTCTGTGACAGTTTGGCTGCCTGAGATGCTAGTGCTACTGTGCTGTAGTGCTTACCTGATGTTATTTAAAGTGGTGGACCTGGATGAGGCTTTAGGGAAGGTGGAGGCCTCACTGAGGCACACTACCAGGTCATGTAGAGGCCCCAGTGACAGTGAGGGTGTGTCTTAAGACACACACAAAT